GCCTCAGCCTCCCAAGTAGCTGGGACCACAGGCGCCCACCACAACGCCCGGCTATTTTTTGGGTGCAGCCATTATTGTTGTTTGGCGGGTCCAGGCTGGATTCGAACCCACCACCTTAGGTGTATGTGGCTGGCGCCTTAGCCACTTGAGCCACAGGCGCCGAGCCTCAAGCAATCCTCTTAACTCAGTTTTTCTATTTCTAGTAGAGACGGGCTCTCACTCTTCCTCAGGCTGGTCTTGAACTCTTGAGCTCAAGCAATCCTCCTGTTTTGGCCTCTCAAGAGGATTATAGGTTTGAGCTGAGTGTAGTTTTTCTACATATATCATTTTGATATTACATAACAAGAATGACATTCTTCCTTTTTGAAGAAACTTGAGTTGCCAGAATTCTTTTTTTTTTGGAGATAGAGTCTTGTTATGTCGCCCTAGATAGAGTGCCGTGGTGTTACAGCTCACAGCAGCTTAAGTGATTCTCTTGCCTCAACCTCCTGAGTACCAGGACTACAGGCACCTGCCCCAATGCCTGGTTATTTTTTTGGTTGCAGTTGTCATTGTTATTTAGCAGGCCTGGCCAGGCTCGAACCCCCTAGCTTTGGTATATGTGGCCGGCGCCCTACTCACTGAGCTAAGGGTGCCGAGCCCAGAATTCTTATTTCTCCCCTAAACTCTCTGCTCTTACGGTGGGGATAGCATCCTCTCTCTTCCTGGGCAGAGTTTCCTGAGGGAGCATGCCCTCATGTTATATCTGGTCCTTGTGCTAAGAGTACCTTTCAAGATATCTAAGTAGAGAGTCTCTCAAGGAAAATTTTTGGAGAAACAAGAAAGATTCAGGTGTATAACAAAGATACCAATTCTATCACAAATGAAGATTTTCTTAAAGTTCAAGAACAGTAAACATAGCACAAACAAGTATCAAAATTCTCTGTAACTTAAGGAAAGAATGCTTTAAGGTTTTCCCCAAATGTGCTCAATATCATACAAAATTAGTCTGATAGACCCAGTGGAACAAAGGCAAGAGAAGTACATACATCTTTATATGAGTTAAGGATGTGGAAACCACGTAGGGCCTGTAAGCTCTGGTAGATTCTAGTTAACCAAAGTGAATAAATAAGGAACCAAAGTTTCTTTTTCCTTAATGAGTATTGTTCTAGGTCCATTAATAAGTATATAAAGTAACAGTTTCTTAACTTTAGAGCCAATGTCCCTTGGAGATGGGCACAGAAGAATTTAGAATTAGACTACAGAGGTCTAAAAAGACATTTAAATGATACCAAGAAACTGTGTGCTCTACACATGAGATCATCTGAATTCTTTCACATGGTTTAAAGCATCTTTAATAACACCTGGCAAGGTAAAGGTAACCAATGACGGTCTGTCTTTTCCCTTTCCCTTCCCTTCTTTCCTTCTGGACTTAAAGATACACTATGAGATCAAAGTGGAGAAGAGATACTAAATGCTTTGGGTGCTGATAAGGCAATTTGAAGACAAACTTCTTTCTTTTGAGAGAATCAAGGTGAAAATGTAGGAAGGGAAGGGCACAGGGATGGGAACAGCATGCAAAATAAGACCCTTATAGATTACAATACATGTAGTAACATTAGTATCATCCTGTTAAAAATTATATAACCATACTGAATAATTATTTATTTTTGCACAAGCACTAAAGAATAGAGACTATATTTCTTTTTTTCCTGAATAATTCTTTTGACTAACATAATTCATATAAATATACACATAGATGAGGAACTAGCAGGGTTTTTGAGAAGGATGGAGACAGATCTCGACATACTGTTCTGGGGTTGAGGTTCAATTCTATCACTCACTCTTGGGGTGCTTAGACATGTTTAATCTCACTGAGTCCCAGGTTTCCCACTTTTAAAATGAAACGTTTGGATAAGTTGATTTCTATCCATCTTTCCTCCTCTAAAATTCTATAATTTATGAATTCTTTTGTTGTTTTTTTTAAAAGGTTATTTAGCTTCAAAGCTTTTGCTCATCATAGACAAAAGCAGAAGATACTGTTTCATGAAGTATTTATGTACATACACGACATAATTTCCTTACCTTACCAGGCAATGGTGTGCTCTTTCGGTATTTAGTAAATTCAATGAAGCAGTCATTACATAATTGAATATATTTCCACACATCTTCACATTTCCAGCCAATGAGAAGAAGGTATGTTACACTACACTTTGGTGATTGAGCCCTTCTAGATGATACAACTCAGCACTAAGGATCCTAGAGCATTGCTTACCTTGAGGCCCCAGGTTTGACACCCAGCATGTCCCAACTATCTTTACTATTTCGAATTCTGCGAATGGTGTCTGCTTGTTCTTTGGTGAAACTAGCACTATTTGTGGTAGGACGTTTCCCGCCATTTTCACATAAATCAACTATGGATACATAAAAGGTCTGCAAGAAAACACATTCCAGAGCAGAACTGACTTTGTGAAAATAGGAATCCCTTTTAAGCATCAACTTAAAGATTTTTAATTTATTCCAGGAACTCTTAGAAGTCATGCATAAAGCAAATACGTACTTTGAAAGATTTTTTTTCTTTTATACTATTTAAATATATATTCATATATTTTAATATAGAAAAAGCAAAAGGAATAAAATTAAAAGGGCTCATAATCCTACTCTCAGATAACCACATTTGAAGTTAAAAATTAATAGATGAACACTGTTAGAACAATTCTAGTAGTAAAAAAGTGTAAAATGAAGACTATATCTCCCTGTTCCTTAAGTTCCTGTCCTTGAGATAACCATCATTAATATTTTTTTGAGTACCTTTCCAGAAAAATTTTCTATCAGTATACGAGTAAATACACAGATCCATACTCTTTAAACATTTACATAAAGTAAATCAGATTAAACACACTGATTAGCACTTTGCTTTTTTTCTTACACAATAATACAACTTGGGGCGGTGCCCATAGCTCAGTGGGTAGGGTGCCAGCCACATACACTGAGGCTGGAGGGTTCAAATCTGGCCTGGGCCAGCTAAAATAAGAACAACTACAACAGCAACAACAGCAACAAATAGCCGGGCAGTATGGTAGGCACCTGTAGTCCCAGCTATTTGGGAGGCTAAGGCAAGAGAATCACTTAAGCCTAAGAGTTTGAAGTTGCTGTGAGCTGTGATACCATAGCACTCTACTGAGGGTGCCATAGTGAGACTCTGTCTCAAAAAAAAAAAATACATCTTGGAATCTCTCTATAGCTACATATAGACAGAGATCTTTTCATAATTTACTCAACCAGCTCTCTATTCTTGGACAAGTTAGTGGTTTCTATTTTTTTTCCTACTAGAAACAATGCTTTAATGAATTCTATTTGTGTGTATACATTTCTGAACACTTGTGGGAATACTGCTTTAAGATGACTTCTTAAAAGCAGAACTGTTAAGAGTATATGTGCATTTTCATTATTGATTTTAACAACTGCTGTCATAAAAGGCTGTACCAGTTTACATTCCCATCACTGTGGAGGAAGGTGCCTGTTTTCCCAAGTCTGTGTTTAACAGTGGGCATGAACATACACCTTAATTTTTGCCAATCTGATATGTATCTCATAATTTGGATTTGTATTTCTTTAATCGTAAGTGAAAGTGAGTGTCTTTTTTCCTACAAACTTCATATTTTTTTATCTACTCTTATTATTTTTTAAAGTGAAAGCTTTTTTTTTTTTTTGCAACAGTGTCTCACACTCTTGTTGACCCAGGCTAGAGTGTCATGGTGTCAGCCTAGCTCAATAGCCTTTTTTTTTTCTTTAACAGACTAATTCATTCATTAGTTCTACCCTAGATATATCTAAAAGGATAAAAGTATAATGGTTCACAGATGTTTGCCAGTGGTATGTAATAGTCAGGTTTTCTTCTCACTTATGGATTGTCCTGAAACATAAATGCTCATGGATTTTTTTTTATTTTTTTATTTATTTTTATTTATTTTTTGATTTTTTGAGACGGAGCCTCAAGCTATCCCCCTGGGTAGAGTGCCATGGCATCACAGCTCACAGCAACCTCCAACTCCTGGGCTCAAGCGAGTCTCCTGCCTCAGCCTCCCAAGTAGCTGGGACTACAGGTGCCCACCACAGCGCCTGGCCATTTTTTGGTTGCAGCCATCATTGTTGTTTGGCGGGCCCGGGCTGGGGATTCGAACCCGCCACCTTAGGTGTACGTGGCTGGTGCCTTAGCCGCGTACATGGCGCCGGGCCATGCTCATGGATTTTTAAGGGCACAAGTATTCGTTCATAACACACATGGTTATCAGAAGACAAGCTGTGTTGTGATATATAGGACATTGGGATCAAAGTCAAAAGCCTATTTAAATTTCATGTCTGAGTAATAGCCATGACAGAGTAATGGATATTGGACTCGTGACATAGACTCGACATATTAGATCTCATGACATAAACTACTACTAAACTGGACACATTTATGAGGCAATTCTTTTTAGGTAGTGACAACAGTAAATGCTAAAGTGCTCCCTGAGAGGTGAGCTCCACAGTCACCTGGTTCTCTACCTGGAGTCCATTTTCTGACCATGGCATAGAAAGCTGGAATCTGAGTAGATACTAAGTCCCATCGAGCTAAGGAAGCAGGGATCAGAGTTTGAGACTGCTACAGCGGCTAGAAAGTACAGAACAGAGCCCTAGTGAGAGGGGCTGTGCAAAATTAGTCCCCAAGTCCATGGAGGGGTTCCCCAAGAGTATTGTAGCTAAGGGCTAGACTATAGATCCATAGGATGAAATCATCTGGGGCTTACTAGATAATAGTTACTATGGCATTGAGAACAAAACCAATATATTAAAGCCTGGTGGTATTAGGGAAAGAGCTATCCTAGGGACCTTAGGGTTTGGCCTTGCCAGAGTGGAGAGACAGGCGTAACATCTTATCAATATAGCCCTAGTTAAAGTACCAGAGAATTACAGACTCACCCCAACAAAATCTAAATCAAGAGCTGATGAGATCTGCAAGAAAGACAGAATTGGGAAACTGAGTCCTGTCAAATTAAAAGGGATTGGGAAACACTTCAGACTTTTTTCAAATCTTTGCTATTGAAACAAAAAGACAAGCCTACACAAGTTCACTATAATCTGTCAATAACCAAACTGCCTCCTGAAATAAGAATCGATATTCTTCTAAGGAAGAAAAGAGAATCTAGAGTCTCCTCAATATGTTATCCCCGATGTCCACTGTTAAACTGAAAATCACTACTCATACAAAAAAATGTTGGCTGCGTCCATAGTTCATTTAGCAGGGTGCCGGCCACATATGCCAAGGCCAGCAAAGTTCGAACCCAGCCTGGGCCAGCTAAAACAACAATGACAACTGCAACAAAAAAATAGCCAGGCATTGTGGCCGGCGTCTGTAGTCCCAGCTACTTGGGAGGCTGAGGCAGAGAGAATTGCTTAAGTCCAAGAGTTTGAGGTTGCCATGAGCTGTGACTCCATGGCACCCTACCCAGGGCAACAGCTTGAGACTCTGTCTCAAAAAAAAAAACAAAAAACAAAAAACAAGAAAATGTGATCTATAGTCAAAAAAAGTAGTCAACAGATACTGAACCCAAAAGAGTTCAAATGCTGGACTTAACAAAGACTTTAAAACAGCTATATAAATATTTCAAAGCAGTAAAGGAAAATATATTTTTCATGAGTGAGAAGATAGATGATCTCAGAGAACTGGGAAATACACAAAAGAATCAAACGCAAATTCTAGAAACTGAAAAATTCACTCAGTGAGTTTAACACCAGATTGTCAGTGAACCCGAAATCAAATCAAGAGAGACTATGTAATCTGAAAAATGCAGAAGAAAACAGAAAAAAAGTAAACATCCCCTGAGGAACAGTGGGACAAAATCAAGTGATCTAATATACATGTAATTGAAGCCCAAGAAAAAAGAGAGTGAGAATGTGGCCCCACAAAATTTGAAGAAATAACTGTAGAAATCTTCCCAAATTTGACGAAAGACATCTATCTACCAAGCTTAGAAATTCAACAAATCTCAAACAGGAGAAATATGAAGAGAACCATACTTTGGCACATCATAGTATAAACGCTGAAAACCAAAGATGAATTAAACTTGTGAAAGCAGCCAGGGAGGGGCAAAGGCATATTATATACCAAAGAATATAAGTAAGAATAATTGCTAACATCTTAGGAGACACAAAGGAGGCCAGAAGGGAATGAACTGACATCTTTAAAGTGCTGAAGGAAATTTAATCTTTTACAGTTAAATTCCTTGGATAAGTCACTTTACTTCTATTAGATCTTCTCATACATGAACTGAGAATAATCCCTGCCACACATTGTTATGAGTCTCAAAGGAGATTAAACTTGTAAACTTCTCCAGAATTATAAAATACTATTCAAATGGTTAGGTATTGTTATTGCATATGTATACGTACAAGCTCATCTAGGTCTCTGTACTTAAAAGAACAGAAAGCATAGCAAACCAACTCAACTTCATTTGCTCTTGAAATAGAAGCTAGTTTTCCAATTCAGCCTGTCAGCCAAGAACCAAACCTGTCTTCTAGTAGGAGGAGTGACATCTTGTGAGAAGGAAATGCAGCATAAAAGATTAAATACAATCCCACTCAATAATTAAGAACAACTCTTTATGGCATAGCTACATTTGAAATGCTAAAAATTCCCAAAATATCAGATATATTCATAAGAAGAAAAATACATTATTCATGTCACCATTTCCAAATGTATCTATAATTAAGAGTTGACTTTATAATTTATTGTCTTAAATATCCTCCTTTCCTTAAAATTATTCAAGATTAGTAGGTTTTAGAATGTGCCCAACTATTCAGGCTGCAGTGTGAGCACACCCTTCCTTCTATTGACTACTTGATTGGTGAGACCTTATTTTTATGTATGACTGGCTGGATTCTGCTTGATAGTCTTCTATTCTCTAACTGCAGCCCTGTGGGTTACAATACAGGACTATATTAGCAAGGCAGTTTTGTCACAGAGCTTCCATTTGATTACACATACAAATGTAACACTATTAACCAACGGTAGTTTTGAAGAGAGTCTTTGTTCCACTTTAGTTGTATTCTGTGATTAAACCTGATCATCAGAATCACCCGGAGAGCTTTTCCAAAATATAGTTTCCTAGGCTTCATTGCAAAGTAAAGCTTCCAGTAGGTCTACAGCCCAGAAATATGTATTTTGAAGAATTTCCCCAAGTAGTCTGATGATCAGCCAGGTGTGGTCTAAAATACACAGCAGACAGATCACACATTTGCATGTGCTCTCTCTCAATACACATTCTCTATCTCGCCAGCTGAAAAAAAAAAGACCTTATTCTAATGAGAAATTCCTATAACTATTTTGCTTCTCATAATTTAAATTGAAAGTTGGCATGGTTGGCCTTGACACAAACCTTAAAACAACAAAAGGTTGGGTTACCTGGAACATCTCATTGATTCCTTCCCCAGTTTGTGCTGAAGTTTCAAAGTACAGGAACCCTTTACTTTCAGCCCAAAGACGCCCTTCACTTTCATCTATACAGCGGTGCTTGGTACAGTCGATCTGAAACAGGTTAGGGCACAGAGAAGATTCCAACCTTGCTTCACTAGAATTGACCCACTGAGATCTTTGTCAATCCTTTACTGAGGCAAAACTATTTTTTTTTTTTTTTTTTTTTTTTTGAGACAGAGCCTCAAGCTGTCCCCCTGGGTAGAGTGCCGTGGCATTACAGCTCACAGCAACCTCCAACTCCTGGGCTCAAGCGAGTCTCCTGCCTCTGCCTCCCAAGTAGCTGGGACCACAGGCGCCCGCCACAACGCCTGGCTATTTTTTGGTTGCAGCCGTCATTGTTGTTTTGGCGGGTCCGGGCTGGGGATTCGAACCCGCCACCTTAGGTGTACGTGGCTGGCGCCTTAGCCGGTTGAGCTATAGGCGCCGAGCCGGCAAAACTATTTTTAATGAACACCATTACTTAATGATCAGGTTTAATGACAATTAGAAAACACAACTGAACACAATTACCAATGTTAAAAGGGGCCCCAAACCCCAAACTAATACTGGCTGTAGACTGGTTTTCTGTGGCAACCGGACTAGTGCCTGCTGCTGCACATCCCACCTGATCCTTGGGGAAAGTTGGCTTCCTGATACCTGCCACGCCCTGAGGCCCACAGTCCTCTTTCCATAGTGCACATCTCACCTAAATAATGCTCCTCCTCCAGTCAGTTCAGAGTGTGATATTATCATCCAATTCTTCCGCTCAGTCACCAATGCCTTTCCCCAAGTACGGCACCAGAAAAAAAAATCCTGATCACCAGGTTTGGGGGTTTTGTTTTGTTTTGGTTTTAGGAACATGCTTTGAAAGGTTGCTGCTGCCTGTAATATAGGATAAGGACTTTTTTCTTTTCTTTTTAACTGTTCCCTATATTCTGAGTGCCATTCTTCCCCTAGCAAGCTGAGCATACCATTTCCAAAGCAGTTACCTTGTTGGCGCACACTACAAATATAATATTTTCCATGTTTCCATGAGGTCCAAGCTCTTGCTTCATTTCCGCTAGCCATCCATCGAGAGCATCAAAGGACTCTTTCTGCCCAACATCGTAGACCAGCATCACACCCTGTGTGTCCTTGTAAAACTCATTACGAACCTTTAAATAAAAACAACAGATGTATAAAATGTAGGTTTTGTGATCTTTAAAAAATGTATCTCACAGTCTTTAACGTGGCAAAATGTGTTCCTTTATGTATTCACAGTATTTGCGATTGTATCTCAGTATCTACTTTAGAGCTATGATCCCCATACCCTGGGCTGTGGACTGCTACCAGTCCGTGGCCTGTTAGGAACTGGGTGGCACGGAAGGAGGTTAACCTTCCCTGTCCCCGACCCCATAGAAAAATCGTCTTCCATGAAACCATGGCCTGTTAGGAACTGGGCCACACAGCAAGACAGCAGGAAGTGAGTCAAGGGCCGAGGGTGAGCAAGTGAAGCTTCATCTGTATTTAAGTACAGCCACTCCCCATCGCTGACATCACTGCCTGAGCTCCACTCCACCCCTATCTGTGGAAAGACCGTCTTTCACGAAACTGGTCCCTGGTGCCAAGAAGATTGGGGGCTCTGCTTTAGAGTGCTTTCTATAGAATCAAGGCAACATAATAAAAACATCTATTAGGAATGACTCATAGTGAACAACCCCAGTCACCTCTTCCCACCTCTAGTTCCACTCTCAGAGGCAATCAATGTTTAATTGTTACTAGATACAAAGTTCTTCTTAGGAAAAATTAGGAAGGTGAGTAAACTCTAAAAAAGAACTTAAGGTAAAAATGACACAAGTATCAGCAATGGGCACAGCCATTGATAACATCCCAGAGCTGTCTGTCTTTCCCCAGGTGCTAAGTAGAGCTTCCCTGACTCTGGGGTCTGCACATCTACTGGAGTTCTGAATTCAGAACTCCAAATTCAGAGCCTCGGTGTCATGTAATGGAGAACAGCACAGGCTCTGATGTCAGACACATCTGGGTTCACACTTACTTACTAGTTGTGTGATCTTGGGCAAGTCACTTAACCTCTCTGCGTCTCAGTTTCCTCATCTGTAAAATGGGGATAATACTACTTATTTCACAGGGTTATTATGAGGATTACATGAGATAATGAAGGCAAAGCAGTTAGCATGCTGCCGGGAAAACAATGTGCATCAGCACCTTCTCCCTTTCTCCCTTGCATTCATTCTCTGGTTGTCCTTTGACGTCTCATTGCTGTCACCTCTGAGACGTATATCTAATCTGGGAAGAAGCAGCAGGATGTATAGGGCACACTCAAGTGGCAGAGGCCACAAGAGGTGTGTGGGTGAAGAGACACTGACAGACTAGGGGTTTTGGGACAAAATTCCAGAAAGAACCTTGGCAGAGGCCATAGGCTATATGTTCTTTTCATATAATTCCAGTATGTACTCGGATTCACACTGGATATGTAATAAGAAATGAAGACATCTTACATACATCAGGCACAGACAGACACCTGGACCAAGGTTTTAAGTGCACCCATTAATTTACAGAACCTTAAGCTAGCCCCGAAACTTAAATCAGAAAGACTTGAAAATGATAAAGACCCACAGTCCCTGAGTCCCTCAGGACTCCTGGTCCTTGCCTTCCACAGTAGTTGCCAGTGGGCTCTTCCTCTTCCCTGAGACTCCTTGCCATCTTGGTTCCCACACAGCACACATTCCCCAGTTCTTCAATTCTCTTTCTCACTAACTCCTCTTCTTTCCACTGCTCCTGCTCCAGCCTGCCCCCAATTCTCCAGGGCTCTCATCCATTCTTTTTAAATCAATCTCCCAAATCTGCAGCATTAATTACTTGCACAGCTTCAACTATGAGGCTCTCCCGGATGAGCCCTCTCATCTGAGCTTCCAAACTGGCGCTTCAAATTAGCACTAGACTCTTCTAGCTGAATGTCCTGCTGGAATCTCAAATTCAGTATGTATAACAGGAAGCCCTGAAACTTACTCCTCCTTAAACTATCTCCCTGCTTTCTTTTCTTTTTTTTTTTTTTGAGACAGAGTCACACTCTGGCACCCTGGGTTGAGTGCTATGCCATCATAGCTCACAGCAACCTCAAACTCGTGAGCTTAAGAGATCCTCCTGCCTCAGCCTCCCTAGAAGCTGGGACTATAGTCATCCACAATGCCTGGTTATTTTTTAGAGATGGAGTTTTGCTCTTGCTCAGGTGATCCACCCACCTCAGCCTCCCAGTGTGCTAGGATTATAGCTGTGAGCCACTGTGCCCAGCCAAACTATCCTTTTTCTTTTTCTTTTTTTTTTGTAGTGACAGAGTTTCACTTTATCACCCTCAGTAGAGTGTCATGGCATCATACAGCTCACAGCAACCTCCAACTCCTGGGCTTAGGCGATTCTCTTGCCTCAGCCTCCCAAGTAGCTGGGACTACAGGCGACTGCCACAACGCCCAGCTATTTTTTTGTTGCAGTTTGGCCAGGGCTGGGTTTGAACCCGCCACCCTCAGTATATGGGGCCGGTCCCCTACCCACTGAGCCACAGGTGCCACCCCAAACTATCCCTTTTCTTAAACTTTAGTGATGAAAGCAGCAGATGAGTCCCTAAGCATTTCAGCTGCAGGCTTGGTGCTATCCGTTGCTGCTTGCCTCTCCCCTTGTTCTGCAGATTCCAACAATCCTGTAGAATCTACCTCTACCTTGTTTCTCACACCTGTGCTTCTTTTCCATTTTTATTTCCCACATTATCTCTTGACTGCGCTCCTGCAAGAGTCTTCTAAGTAATCTTCCTAGCATTACTATACACTGTGTATTTATCCTTCTAAAGTCCTGGCTCAAAAATTCTTTACTGTTTCCTCATCACCAGCCCTCCAAAGTTCAAACTCTCTTAACCAATGTTAAGTTTCTGATCAGTCCCCTCCCAACTGCAGTCCTACCTTCCTACTATCCCCTGACCTTCAGACTAGATAATTTCTCATTCCCAAACCTTCCTTGGCCTTCCTAACTCCATCTGGGAACAGATGTCTTTATCTTTAATCTTTCAAGGTCTAGCTATAATAAGGAACCATTCATGCAGCTTTTCTGCCCCATTCCTTCCATCTAACACCCCTAGCCCTGCCAAAGAGAATGTAACTTCCATGTCCTAGGGAATGGCACTGCGTTCTGTCCTTCTAATAGTGCTGATACCACTTTCTGCTCAGTCTTATAGTCATTAGACTGGAAGCAACGTGCAGGCATACACCTGGATGTATCCAGCCTGTGTCACCCAGGGCTCAGCAGATACAGGAACACCTCACTTTATCGCCTTTCACATTACTGAGCTTGGCAGATATGGCATTTTTTACAAATTGAAAGTCTATGGCAACCCTGTGTCAAGTCTATTAGCACCATTTTTCTAACAGCATGTGCTCACTTCACGTCTCTGTGTCACATTTTGGTAATTCTCGTAATATTTCAAACATTTAAATATTATTGTATCTGTTATCATGGTCTGTAATCAGTGATCTTTGACATCACTATTGTAAAGGTAAGCTTATATAAGACAGAGAACTTAATCAATTAATGTGTGCTTTCTGACTGCTCCACTGACCAGCTGTCCCCCAGCCCTCCTCAGGCCTCCCTATCCTCTAATACACAACAATATTGAAATTTGGTCAGTTACTAACTCTACAATGGCCTCCAAGTGTTCAAGGGAAAGAAAGAATTGCATGCCTATCACTTTAAATCAAAAAATAGAAATTATTAAGCTTAGTAAGGAAAGCATGTTGAAAGTCGAGGTAGGCTGGAAGCTAGGCCTCTTGCGCCAGTTAACTAAGTCATGAATCCAAGGGCAATGTTCTTGAAGGAGACTAAAAGTGCTGCTCCAGTGAACACATGAATGATAAGAAAGTGAAACAGCCTTATTGCTGATATGGAGAAAGTTTTAGTGACCTGGACAGAAGATCAAACCAGCCACAATATTACCCTAAGCCGCCATCTAACCCAGAGCAAGGCCCTCTCAAGTCTATGAAGGCTGAGGGAGGTGAGGAAGCTGCAGCTGAAGCCAGTAGGAGGTTGGTCTATGAGGTTTAAGAAAAGAAGCTGAACTGATAACATAGAAGTACAAGGTTAAGCAGCAAATGCTTATGTAGAAGCTGCAGCAAGTTATCCAGAAGATCAAGCTAAGATCACAGATGAAGGTGGTCACGTTAAACAACAGATTTTCCATGTAGACGAAACAGCCTTCTGTTGAAAGAAGATGCCAACTAGAACTCTGATAGCTGGAGAGGGGAAGCCAATGCCCAGCTTCAAAGCTTCAAATGACAGGCTGACTCCCTCATCAGAGCCCAGTCAGCTGCTGACTTTAAGTTTCAATGCTCATTTACCATTCCAAAAATCTTAGGGTCCTTATGAATTATGTGAACTCTACTTGCCTATGAATGAAATAATAAAGCACATTCCGGATGACAGCACATTCTGTTTGCAACACAGTTTACTGGATAGTTTTTGAGCCTACTTTTGAGATCTACTGCTGATATGAAAAGATTCTTGGCTCGGTGTCCATAGCACAGTGCTTACTGCACCAGCCACATACACCGACCGAGACTGGCAGGTTCCAACGCAGCCCAGGCCAGCTAAAACAATAATGACAACTGCAACAACAACAAAAAAGTAGCCAGGCATTGTGGTGGGCACCTGTAGTCTGAGCTGCTTGGGAGGCTGAGGCAAGAGAATCACTTAAGCCCAAGAGTTTGAGGTTGCTGTGAGCTGTGATGCCACAGTACTCTACCGAGGGTGACACAATGAGTGAGATTCTGTCAATATTGCTCTGATGGAGATGTACAAGGAGATTAGTGTTCTTTTCATGCCTCCTAATACAAAATCCATTTTGTAGCCCACAGATCAAAGAGTAATTTTTTAACACTATTATTTAAGAAATACATTTCACAAGGCTATAGCTGCTATAGATAATGATTCCTCAGATGGTCTAGGCAAAGTAATTTGAAAACTTTCAGGAAGGATTCACCATTCTAGATGCCATTAAGAACATTTGTGATTCATGCAAGGAGGTAAAAATATCAACATGATCAGGAGTTTGAAAGAAGTTGATTCATGGATGACTTTGAGAGTTTCAAAGACGTCAGTGGAAGAAGTACCTGCA